GAGAGAGAGAGAGAGAGAGAGAGAGAGAGAGAGAGAGAGAGAGAGAGAGAGAGAGATTGGTGACTTTGGGACTTGACGATATTTGGATCCAGACTCCACATTGGGATTGAGACATTGGACGAGGGATTATTTGGGACCTGTACCGAAGACTTGGTATTGACGACATTCCCATCTTCCCCTCTTCGTCATCTAACCCCCCTCTTCTTCATCTGTGTATGGTTGGGGACTGGCGCATTCTTCCTGTGTGAGCACCAGGCCCCTTCACACCATGGAATGATGATGATGTATGTTTGGTCTGCATTGCAACATTGATTGTTTCGGATCATTGGTATATTAGCCTTCCGCTGCGCTATCTTGTACTATGTGGGAAAGGTCGGTTCTTGTTCTGGTCTGTACCGTTACGGTATGCGAGACAGAGACAGAGACAGAGACAGAGACAGAGACAGAGACAGAGACAGAGACAGAGACAGAGACAGAGACAGAGAGGCAGAGAGAGAGACCGACAGAGAGACAGAGACAGAGAGAGAGATTCTTCATAGCCTAGACAGAGAGGCAGAGAGAGAGACCGACAGAGAGAGAGAGACAGAGAGACAGAGACAGAGACAGAGAGAGAGATTCTTCATAGCCTAATACTGGTAGAGGGCACAGCTAGTTAGGAATGTGTAAGGCTCCTCAGAAAGCGAGGAGCCTTGGGACAGAAGTAGTAGGGGAGAGGAGGGGATCAGAAGAGAGAGATTGACAGTAGAGAGGAAGGGGCTTTCATTGTCATCAATGACTACGACATAGCTTGAAACCCCTTCTCAACCCCTTCAATGAGCATACTGTGCCAGCATTGTCTTCACAAGAGAGGAGACGAAACGAAAAGGAAAAGGGGGAAAAAAAACAAAAGAGCAGGAAGAAACATGACGACACATTCAACCACAGGGATTGGAGACGCCGTGGATTGCAAACACTTACAAGGGTTGCGTCAAAATTCACTGCTTGACAGCGAACAAAAGAAATAGGGTTCAACCCCAAACATGCAATCTTGACATCGGGGGTTCCGTCTTCGCTGGTCTTTGCAGAGATAGCTGCTTGCTTACGGCTGCATTTCTCAACGGCAACGCCTTGAGGAAAAGTCAAGTTACCTCTGCCAATAACGAACTCCGCATCTGAGAAAGGCTGCAAGACCCAATGGAGACCACCACAGCGGATGATGAATCCTATTTTATTCTAGCTAAGTATATTTAGTATTTACTTACATATATTCCATGCCCCAAAAAAGAAACCCAGAAAGATACATGAAGAAATCTCTCTATATATATGTATATAGGGTGGCCAGCGTTTGGGACGGGCCGAACGCCCGAACCCGAACACCCGAGCGTACGGGACCCCTTGGGATGCGTTCGGCCGTTCGGGCCGAACGCGGACCCAAAAAAAACAAAAAACCTCCAAAAAATCAAGAAAATCTGAAAAAAAAACATATGTTATGCAGAAAAATAAACTAAACAACATTTGCCTGAGCATTACATCCAAATTCCTTACCACATTTAAAATAAAAATAAAAAATAAAAACAAATAGTAAAATACTAATAAGAAAAAATAAAACGAGAAATCAGAGAATTAAAATTAGTGAGTCCGCAGACCTGTTTTTGACACCGCCATCTTTGGCGATTTTTCTTTTTTTTTTGGCATAGCCAAATGCTCTGCAACTTCACATGTGTGTACTTCACATAATACAAAACTCATGCAAAAAGTTTCAAAAAATAATAAAATATTTGAGGCACCAAAATAAAATCACAACGAAAAGTAAAAAGTGAAGGAAAAAAAAACTGAGTAGGCCAGCACGTTTTAACACCGCCATCTTTGGCAACTTTTCTTTTTTTTTTGGCTTGGCAAAATGCCTTGAAAATTTATATGTGTGTAGCGCATGTCGCACAGAACTTACAAAAAAACTTCAACCAAAAAAAAATCATTTTTAGGCCCCGGATTTTTTTTGGCGGGGGCCGAACCCCTTCAGGTTCGGCCCCCCAACGGGACCCCGAACGCCCGAACGTTTGGGGGTCAGCCCGGGGGCCCCCCAACATTCGGCCTGGTAACTACGAGGAACTGGGTCCTCGGCAGGCCTAAGGGGCCTCTTGCTGCAGATGTGCCCGCACTAAGTGAAGGCGGGCCTAACAAATCACGAGAGGCCCTACGCTGTCAATTTTGTATTTGGGGTCCAGGCAGTTTCATCGCCCCAGTTGGTTGAGGGAATCACAGGTTGAGCAGCAAGACATTCCACGGCCTTCCAGGCCTTTCCAAAATGATGCAGGCCCTGGACAAGAATCGCAGGCTCATACATAGACAGTTGGGAGGCCCAACCGAATGAGGCCCAGTAGCTGCAACAGAGGCGCAGCATTCTGGGGCCTACCGGAAGCTTCTGGGCCCAGGCCCAGCCCAGCCAGGCTGCGAAGGCAGGCAGGCTCTTTCTGTATAGGAAAGAGCTCACCGCCTGGAGAGTGATTCAGCACTTGCATGCTGGCGGCAGCGCTGCTGGAGCAGACGCTTGTGGGCTGCCCGGTGGTTTTTGGGGGCGATTCGATGAGGGACCTAGCTAACGCGCTAAGCACTCCGCCTCCAGAGTATGGTTGAGCTAAGCCCATTCGCAGAGCACCGATTCCAAACTACTCGAGATGGTGAAAGTATAAGCAAAACTAAACAAAAAAAATGGCCAATTAATCAAAGAGACGATAAACGCAATCGAGTCAGCTGAATTATTTTTAATCCAAAAAAAAAATCACAAGTTATTTGAGAGGGCGCATTGCTAAAAAAAAAAAAAAAGGGAGGGCATAATATGGCATAATAGGCATATTGCAAAATACGGTTAAGAAATCCACAATGTGGATCACTCCAGTTTTAAAGAATGTCCTGAAGGACTAGCATGGGCCCTGTGCATAAATCGAGAAACGGTCCAAAAAAAAAAAGGAAAAAAAATCCACAACATGGCTCGTCGGACTCGGGTGCTGCCGATGAAACAGAAGGTACCCCAACAGGATGGGATGATGTTCCTTCACTACCGAACTCTTTTGTTTGTTTTTAACTTTTTATTTTGGCGTCAATACCGCATTCTCAAACTGTTGGGAAGGTGATCACCACCGCATTTTTCTTCCTTGCTTTTAATACTTTTTATGTAAACCGCCAATCCCTCCAAGCCTCCTTTTCCCAACCTGGATTTTCTGCTGTGCACCAGACAAGAAAAGAACAGGCATGGGGCACAAAATATTTTCTTTTCAGCTGGCGCCACGAGTCATCTCAGTTCGGTAGGTCGAGACCCTGTTAATAGCTGGAAAGGGACTGGTGGCTTAAGGCCTGTTGGGGCAGCATAGTCTTTCTTTAATCCAAGGCTTCCATGGCATGTCTCTCATCACTACCGTATTTCACCTATGAACAGAATGCCCAGTCATTATGCTGCATTTGGAGCAACTTTCAGTCCACATGCAGCGATAATGACCGGGCATTCCATTTGGGTGAAGACGGTAGCACCAACAACCTGGCACTGTCGTCATCTCAAACCACCACTTTGTGCGCCACAGGCCAAGACGTGTATCCATTCCACCAGCTCTATTTCCATTCTGGGGAGCATCAGTCCGGTTCCTATTCCACCGGCAAGTCTGAATAAAATATTACATCATGAAACACTCACGCTCCCTTCCGTCTGGCCGAAGGAACCCTGACCAGCATTGATTACTCCAGCATCGTGGAGGATTGACTGTCAGCTTGCCTTACTTTCCACCTTTCCTCTCAGGTCCACTGCATGAACCTGTCAGATAAATGATAGAGAGCAAAGAAAGTAAGAGAAGCTACGGAAGATGCAATCTCGGAATTTGCCCTTCAATATTATGTGGCCTGTGATGGATCTTGTACTCTGCTGGCTGGGATCTCTGCCTTCTCCACCCTGCTTACTTGGCAAAGACGTAAATCTGAGAATATGTATCCAGCAACTTTCGGGGTTAGGAGCTACTGCACAAAAACGGCAACCGCCACCGGACAAATTTGCTACCCTTCGCTTGGCACGCAGCACACGCAGCCTCATGAAAGAAAGGTTGGGACGTTGTGATGGTTTAAACCACTAGTAATTGGCCCATACATTGGCTGCGGCCCTTGTCGTATACGCGCCACAACTTTCGGGGCTCGACCTCCGAAGCAAAATGGCTGGCGGCACCAGCGAAAAGAAGGCTGCGCCGAAAATTTTTTTGGGCACGCAGGAAGTTTTCAGGGTTGGAGAAAAGTAGTTAGTAGTTATGGATCCGTACATCTGGGCCTAAGCCCTCCTCCGAGCAAACACAGATTCGAACAGGCGACCTTGGCCTCAAGAGCCAAGTCTCTTAACAGACTACAGCCAGGACACGCTGTTCAAAAGTGGAACCATACCGGTCATGATATACACCCCACCCCTGCAAGGCTGTAGTGTCCAACTCAACACACACCACACTCAACACCCACGGACACAACAATTCTCGCACACTTCCCTCCAATCAATACGTAACCCCCACTGGTACTTAGCCCGCTCACTTCTCCAGGATACCTTACACTGTGCTGCCTGGCAGTTCACGGGAGCCTTCCACAGTAGTTATGGATCCATACATCTGGAGGTTTAGGAGAATCCTACCCTAAAAGTGTGATTTTTGTACATGCACACAACAGTCACTTTCAGCAGACTCATCACTATGCTTATGTTCTCTCTTCCAGACAACAACCCTCAGGTCCGCCCAGACATGGTATAACCTTTGTAAAATGATGAATTTGACAAAAGAAGACGTGAGGTTGTAGTTCAACTTTGCTTGGGTGCCCAGAGGTCGGGGCGATTCAGAGAGACCGGACGTCAGATACAGACAAGGGAAACGTCGAGACGAGTCGGAGACATTTGACAAGATCGTGTTTGTTTCGATCATGTTTTCCTCACCTCCACCCATAGCAGAGTCATAGGGCATCACTCTGCTACTCACCAGATGTACAAAATGAGAATGAATCTTTTGCTAGAACATGGAAAGACACATCGCCATATTTTTGTCTTCCGTGCATGTGGTAAGCAGTGGAGGGAGGCCCATAGCCAAACACCACTACTTCCATGAAACTACTGTCCAATTTATTTCCTTTTTTTTCCTTCCTTTTCTGGGTTTCTTTTTCTTCTTTTTTTTTTTTAAGCTGTTCAACAAGTGGACAAAGCTAATGTATCTTTTTTTTTTACATTTAATGCTTGACAGTAAATAGAGAACAGCCACGATCCCTCGTCATTCAATGGGGAACAAAAGATCCAAAAAATAGGCAGAAGAATTGAAAAAAGGTGTTAAGGAGAGCACATCTTACAATGATGATTGGATCCCCATCATGAGGAGGCTGAAGAACAACGTGATCATGCATCGTCATGCACTATATCCAGCCTTGTCATCTCACTCCCTTCTCTCTTCCTTTTCACGTTGACCATACATCAAGGAATGTATCTTCCTTTTCATATTGACCAGATACAAACACAACCATTCCTGTCATAAGAGGGAAGATACAAGGGCCAGCAGAAAGAGACAGGTGCAACAACTCATCCCCTGGCATACAAAGGCCTCACAGGTCGACGACTCTGCACGGACACACATTGATCCTCAGGGCATCCCGGTAAGCCACTACCATTCCATTTGTTCTGAAACCAGAAGGAACTACCGTAGTATATTTTACATAATCAATGCAGCAACCAGGTTGTTGTATTCTTGTCCCTTTTAAAAGGGTCTTTACCCGATGCAGGCCTCAGGCCTTGTAAAAGTAAAGCAACGAGAAAGGGTATCTCGCCAGGGCTCAGAAACGTGAAAGCAGGCCAAAGGTCAAGTTCTCTATCAACGGGCACATCTAAATCTAAAGCAAAGGGCATTGTCAAAAGACTTACCTGTTCACCAGGAGATGCGCATGTCATGTCTGTTCGGAATAGGGTGCACCTGTTCGTGCAAAGAAGAGTGTCTATTCACACCTTGGGAGTGTCTGTTCAGGCAGTGAGTGTATCTGTTCGTCTAAAGATGTGCCTGTCCAAAAGTAAGTCAATAGGAAAAGTCCCAGTTCTGGTCTAAGTCAAGGGGGCAGTCCAGATCCAGACTTTCAAGTCCAAATTTAGGCCCGAAAGGCCTCAGCAGCAATTGAACTTCATTGGGACTGTACTGGGACACAGGCAATGCAGGGTCTGGGACGAAGGAAAGGCTGAACTGAGGCAATGCAGACCCAGCGAGGAGAGGCCAGCACTATAAAGGCAGCAGCCAGCCTCATTCCTCGCCAGATCTCCACTGGCTTCAATGCGTGGAAGTGCTGTTGCGCTTGTGCGCTAGTCAGTAGGAGCTGCGCTGAAGAAGAAGATGCGCTGGATACAGATTGTGCGCTGGAAGGGATGCAGCCATAGCTGCCCAGCGAATTAGTAGTAAAGTACAGGGTTAGTGATAGTCAGCTATGAGTAGTATTCAGAGTAGATCCTCATGAGAGAAGAGCGTGTATGCATCATAGGAGGAAGGGACTGAGGCAGAGAGTGTTCATTCACGGTTTGGCTATGGAAGATACTTACCTGAGTTGGATGTGAACTGCAGAGGTGGCGCTGATGAGTAGTGACCACGTTGATGACTTGGAGACAATCTGCAGATGTAGCGCTGATGTAATGGAAGTCATATTGACGGGTTGACAAGGGATTTGCATTGCGCTGATGGGCGCTGGACTCAGGGATCTATGAAACTCTTTGTAATCATATTTTTGATAATATAAGCTGTGAAACTCGGTTCTCTTCTCATCTACCTTTGTCCATTGTGTGAGGCTACTGATCATTGTGTGCGAGTATGATGCATGACATGTACACACTTGCGTGAGATGGTCCCCAGGACCCATGCACTTTGCATCATCCAGAACAACCAAGTCCTAAAACCGGGATCGGATCCAGCAGTTCGTAAGTCGAGCTTTGCACGCTCGTGCACACGCGCGCACGCACACACACACACACACACACACACACACACACACACACACACACACACACACACACACACACACACACACACACACCAGGTTGTTGTATTCTTGTCTCTTTGCATCATCCAGAACAACCAAGTCCTAAAACCAAGATCGGATCCAGCAGTCCGTAAGTCAAGCCTTGCACGCTCGTGCACACACACACACACACACACACACACACACACACACACACACACACACACACACACACACACACACACACAACGTCCTGATGAGTCGGTGAAAGTTTGACAAAACAGTCTGGCACAGTCATGCTTTTTTTACTGTATAGCGAATAGGACAACACACACACACACACACACACACAAGCATTTTGTTTAGAGCGGTCACACCTGGTTTGCCAACGAAGTGTGAGAGTCCTTCAGGACATCGGTTCACAATTGGAACGATAAAGAGAAGATTAGCATGGCCCCTACACGAGGATGAAACGAATAAATCAATATTTTTTTAAAAAGAAACAAACAAACAAATTGAGAACTTCGCCAACTTTGGTGTGCAGAAATCAGTAGGCTAATGACCCTCCTCGGGTATATGGCATTTGGTTTGCTCATGCCTGGTTTGCCTTGGATTGACCTGGTTTGGTTTGGTCAGGTCGGAGGCGTCAGTTCAGTTGGCTTCCGGTCGGTTCCGTTCGACCCATTCCGGCCTAGTTTGGTTGGGTTGGGTTTGGTTCAGTTAGTCTCAGTTCCATTCGGCCGGCTCAGGTCGGCTTGCTTCAGTTCAGTTCAACCGGCCTCGACTCGGTTTTGGGTTGGTATGGTTTCATCTCATGTCGCCTCATTTTGTTTGCTTCCGTTCTGGTTTGGTTCCGTCTGGTCTGGTTTAGTTTGGTTTGGTTAGGTTTGGTTTGGTTGGTTGTTGCACAGTCTTGCCAATGATTTTTGGTCCTCCTTTGGTCTGGTTTGGTTTGGTTTGGTTTGGTTTGGTTTGGTTTGGTTTGGCTTGGTTTGGTCTTGGTCTTGGTCTTGGTTTGGTTTGGCTTGGTTTGGTTGGTTGTTGGGCAGTCTTGCCAATGATTTTGGTCCTTGTTTGGTTCCGTCTGGTCTGGTCTGGTCTGGTCTGGTTCGGTTTGGTTTGGTTTGGTTTGGTTTGGTTTGGTTTGGCTTGGCTTGGCTTGGTTGCTGTTGGTTGGTTATTGTGCAGCCTTGCCAATGATTTCTGGTCCTCGTTTGGTTCCGTCTAGTCTGGTTTCATTAGGTTTGGCTTGGTTTGGATTGGTTTGGATTGGATTGGATTGGATTGGATTGGTTTGGTTTGGTTTGGTTTGGTTTGGTTTGGTTGGTTGTTGTGCAGCCTTGCCAATGATTTTTGGTCCAGCAATGTGACCTGTCTTCCACAGCGCGCTGCTATCATCCATCACAGCACTATGGTAGCCATCCACAACGATACACCTTTCAACACGGTCATCATTGCTGCATCCAAATATAGAACGCACGGTCATTGGTAGCACAAGGTCAGGAAATCAATACTCTTGCTACACGTTCTTTGGGTTGGTGAGATTGATCCGTGGTCCATCAGGCCACATGATATTACATTAATTTTTGGGGGGCTACGGAGGGGTCAAACGGGTAAGTTTGCATACTTTTGACCCTTCCAGCGTTGAGATTGACTCCGGACAATCAAGAGAAGAGTTGGAAGGCGTGAAGAGAAGCTGATGAACGGCTCTTTGGACCGAGCCCACAAACAGGCCTAAGATTTTGGTGGGAGCGAGCTGCATAACGGAAACTGTCACACGTGGTTCTGAGGGGCTGTGTCTACAGTCTTCCCCCGAATACAACGTATGGTCATTATAGCTGAATTTAGACTGAAAGATACCCCAAATTCAGCTATAATGATCGTACATTGTATTCAGGGGAAGACTGTAGACTGAAAGCCGGCCCCAAATACAGCTGTAGTGACCGTGCGCTCTATTCGGGGGAAGATGGTAGCTAGACAATAAAATAGAGATCAAAGAGAAGACGAGGATGGTGGAGAAAAGGGGGGAGGGGGTCACCCTTGGAGGGTCACTTTGGAAGCACACTCACACTGTGACTTGCTTAGATATATCTAACCACAATGACAATACCCTCTATTCGGGGAAAGACGGTAGCT